TGAGCAAGGAAATCGAGATATTCGCATATTTCCACAATGGGGAAAGAAAAAACTAATAATTAATCATAATATCCGAATTAATCGAGAATCATCACGAAGAATAACGAAGACAACCAAAAAAAAAAAAAAAAAAATACTGTCATCATTGGTAATTATTGAGAGTCAAAGTAGCTGGAAGGAATCGCTGGAGGGATCATTAAAATCCTCTAATTGGATCGTTCGATAAATCCTTACCGACATTACATTAAAATGAAAGGATTCACAAAAGATTCGTTATTCGAAATTCCGAGATCGTTTCGAGAGCTATTTCTATTTTTTATTTCATCAATATCGCGCAAGCGTTTATAATTTTCATCTCGTTTTCCCCTGTAAATTAACTTATCGCCGAACCGCTTATTAACGGATTGAGATTTCCAAGACTTCGCGTTAATCGTTCGTTTATATCGAGGAAACGATTAACAACAAGAAAATTCTCTCTGCCCGATTGTACAACATTTTTATATACAACGGCGATTATATCCGGATTAAACGTTGCAAAATATGCGTGAAAAAGCCCGGTTACCGTTAATACACTCGAGATTAACATCTGATTCCGGTGTAACGTTATAAACGGGGACAGGGGCGTGCGAGTGAAACGGAGGTACGTAATCACATTAACGGGCGGGTTAACGTCGGTTTAGGCGGCATGAAAAGTGGGCAAGAGATTACAGATACCGACTCCTAAGTATCCGCGTGCTCTACACCGCTCGAGGGCCCTCTTTACTTTTTTTTTTTTTTTTTTTTTAAATGCAAATACTACATCTTAAATATTAATGTGCTTAGCGTAACACTTTTGAGGAGGGAGAAGGGAGGGGATGATTTGCTCTCCACTTTGGAAAATCACCTCCGCTACTTACTTTACACGCCACGGTTTATTAAATTACTTAATCCGATAAAAAGTGCCTTTTTTATATATCCGATTCGCCCGATGGTTACTATACCCATTTCATATCTACTTTATATTCCTTATTAAATTGTATTTAAATTATTTTTTTAAATTCGCATAACGTGGTTTATTCCTCGTCGGGATGAAAAATGTAGGAAGAAATTTATGGTCTAGTAAATTTTCTTCCCGTTTATTCGTTTAGAAAGAATATCTAAAGTTAAAAAGAAATTATATCCAAAATTCCCTATTCAAAATTCCTATTCTTTGAAAGAGTTATACATAAAGCAAAAAAGAAAAATTCTTCGATAATCAATTCTAACGCAAATCTTGAAACAAATACAAGAAAAAGGAAAAAAATTCGCAGGAAAAATATTAATTTGGCGAAGATTCGCCAAGGAAAAATTACACTCGTTTCCGGGAATTCGTGAAAGATTAAAGCGATGTTGAATCTTTGAGGAAGCGGAACGGTGGAGGGCGGAGGAGTAGATAGCCCGGCCCGATCCCGGGGAAATCGAGAAAAATTTACTTCCTCATTTCGAACGGATACGCGATACAGTTTTAGAGCCCCCTATAAATATTTGCCGACCGCGAAATATTTGGAAACATCGTAACGACCGCAATATTTCGGTAAATTTGGCAAGTATTCCGCGGTTCGGTTGGCATCCGGATCGATCACGCGGGATTAATAAAAATAAATCTGAAGATTACCGTGCGCCCATCGTCTCGCCTGCGTCTGGATTGATTTCTGTCGTGGTTATCTCTTCGTCCATCTCTCTCTTTCTCTCTCTCTCTTCTCCTTTTCCCTCTCTTTCTCTGCTCGCAAATGGACCGACGCTTTTTTAGTCGTGTCTCGTGTATCGACGTGCGCGGTATTTTTGAGAAAAATAAACCGTTCGTCACAACGGATAAATTACTTTGTGTCTACGTATCGGTATGTAAGAATTATTGATTGGAATTGTGGAATATTTGTTTGTCGGGGCTGAATATTTTTGATGAGATGGAATCCGAGCAGGGATGGCGGACTTTGAATTGTTAAAATTTCATTCCGCGTGGATCGAAATTTGCCATAGATACGATTATATTGTACGTAGAATTGAAGGAGGAAGAAGGTATTATAAGGTGGTCAGAGAATTCAATCGATTGAAATTTATAAAATTTGTATCTTGTGTATATTTAAAGTGGAAGAAGAAAAGGAAATAATAAGGATGAAGTGGAAGAAGTAGTTGGTTCCAACCTCGTACAAAAGAAGGGATTGAAATTTAATTGATTTGTTTAAGTTCCAACGCTTTGATGCTATTCTTTGCTCTCCTCTTCTCCGCAAACACGTGATCAAACACGCCAAGAATCTTAATCCTCCTCAAAATTACTCGGCAAGGTGATGATCCTCTAATTATTCCCTAAATAGTCTAGCCTCAAACGACGTCACAATTTTATCCCCCCTCCCCCGCGTACATCAACGACTCGTTCAACTTTAAAGCTATTCTGTAAACGAACGAGACTTAATTCCAAGCAACGAACGAGCCTTCCATAAAACCAACAACAATAAAAGCGACGAGAAACAGAGGGAACCGGAGGAATCGAGACCAGCGAGCGGATGAAATTAAACGGCTCGAATCCGGGTACATATTTCATTAAACCGAGTAATCTTGTTTATTGCAAGATTGCGTTAAATAATTGAACGTAAACACCGTCGATTTCTCGTTTTCTCGATTTCCCTAGGAAAAGGGGATCGATTCCGTTTAAAAACGAATCTTTCGCGCCTCGAATTCGTAGAACGGTGGAAAGTGGAAACGAAAGTGGAAGCGAGAAAGGCCCCAAAAAACAAAAAAAAAAAAAAAACAGAAAAATTAGCAACGAGACGTAGATTAGTCGTTGCTTGTACACTAGAGAAACGAAGATGGAAAAACGAACTTTTAAAAATGCTTTTGCATTTTCCAAATTCGTTCCAAAGAGAATCGACATCGACCGTTTCCCTCTTGACGAAGATACTACACCAGGGTTAAAATAGAATGGAAAAGAGAGAATGAGAGAGGGGCAGAAAAAAATTCTGAAACAACCCGTTTTGATTCACTTTCACCTTCCTAGATACTTTTTTTTTTCTTTTTTTTTTTTTTTTTTATAAGAGTCGAAAATCCACCGTCCATCCATGCATATCGTTTTTTTTATTTCCCTCGACGAAAGCTCTGTTAATACGCGCGTTAACACCTCACGATCCACGTTTGCCTTTTTTTCCTTTTTCTTTTTTTTACAATCCTTCTTTTCTTCGCCCATCTCCCTATCCCTCTCTCTCCCCTTCTCGCTCACTTTTCTTCCCCTCCCCTTCTTTTTTCTCTCCTCTCTTCCATCCGCTTCCTCTGTCCTTCTTTTCCTCACTCCTCTCCCTCTCTCTCGCTTCGACTGCGTAGATTACCGAGGGGTTGGCACGCCGTAAAATCTGCCAACACGTGTAAAAACGACACGCGGCTGTATTCCACCGTGTTTTATTTTTCCTCCCATTCACTATTTGCCGTGAACCCCCGAAAAATCTCTTTGGGAACGGGCACACGGCTGCTTTAACGTCCACTCGACGACTTAACGTAATCTAGCTTCACTTAACTCTCCCGTGACGCTCCCGTAACCCCCTTCGCCCTCTTGCTACTTAGGCTCGTTCCTTCGAGGATTAAAGGATTCCTTTCCGTCTTTTTCGCAGGACCATGGTTTATGGATTCCAAGCTCGTTGAAAATAAATACTTTTAATTTTTCTTTTCCCATTTTCTTTCTTTCTTTCTTTTATTCGCCGGATAATCGACGGATTCGTTTAGCCGAAAAATCGAAATAATTGTTTATTTGAAAGTGGAAGATAAATTTCGAAATTTAAATAAAGGTAGATGGATGAGTTTCTTATGAGATATTTCTAAAAGTGATTGAATTATTGAAACAATCTCTCTCGATTTCGATATTTAATATATCTGATAATTTATTTGGGAGTAAGGGCTATATCAAGCTTGAAATTGCATTTTTCTCTCGTAGTTTGCGTATCACGTTCATTTGATTTAAATGGAGAAGAATTTCTTACATTATATTAAAATATTATAAAAATAAGCTATAATATATACTATTAAAATCGAATTAATTTAAAATGGATTAAAATTTATGAAAGTAAAATTTTTCTAACTTATATAGGAACGTAAATTGCACAAAGTTCCAATGTCCTTGAGAGTCGACAGGATTAACTCTATTCCTCTCTTTAAAATCAGATTAAACGGGCTACCTTTTTTTTCCGACTTTATTAACTAATTTAGAGTAAAACGGGGAGGGAAGGGAAAAAATAGTTGGCAAAAAGTTTTGGTTAAATGGTGGCTGGCTGCAAACTTGCCTCCCGTTTTACGACACTTTCGAGTTCGCGTTCTCTTCGTCATACGGTATACAAAAACAATCCGTGTTCGATCCTCCTCGACAAAATTCAAAATTTTAATGTACATGGCGTCAACGAATTCGTATTCCTTCTGCATGGATAAAAACGGACACTAAAATTTCGCTCAACAAATATTTCAATAATATCATTCCATAATATCAAATCAAGTCGTGCAAATGTCAAGTTTTTGTATGAAATACTTTTATCTTATAAATCATTATGAACAAAATTTAGCACGATACAAGGAAGACGAATATTTTAGAATATTTTAGAAGAATTACTTACTTTTTACTTCATTTATATTTTCATTATCGTTTAAATTAAGATAAAAGTACTTTTATCTCGTAAACCATTAATTTATCATTGTTCTAAATCAATTGAGAGCACGATAGATACTTATGGATAAGAATAGACGTATATATTATTACCATGTATGCAATATCACCGTGTATGTGATGAAATCGAACGTATATGAAATATATGAAATAATATTTGTATACGATAACCTCATTGAAACTTCTTCTAAAATCAGATTTTTACATGGAAAAATTCCACTCAATAATTTGTTTTTTACACACTTTTCTTTCAATCATACCACTCGATTTCGAATACACATTTTCACGTTTACTCGAACTCGAGGAGGACACAAAACCCGTGCGAAAAGATAAATCAAAGACTCACCGTTCACGATGACGATGACACCCAGCAGGCAGAGTAGCAAGTGTCGCAGGCACATCTTCTCTGATAGAGATCACCGAAAAAAAAGGGGGGGAACACGCAAAAAAAGGAATTCTCACTTGCTCCTCTCGTACATCGTTTTTTCAATCCCGCTGGTGCAAAGAGCCTCCCCTCGCCCTTTCTCGATTTGTCTTTGACGATCAGTCGACCAGGTGCAACCGGACGTTGATCGCGATCCTGGCATTTGTTATCATCTTGCCCGAGAACTCTCTCCGTAAGGAGCTCACAAATGCTTGCGCGCGTTACTTTCCAAATATAACAGCGAATGGCAACGATCAAAGGGTGTTGAACGATAACCTCAATAAAGATCGGACGACAGACGGGACATAGGATCACGGTTACTCGAGTAGACTCGGGCCGACAGTAACCAGATCGAGCAGATTCGACAGTAATTCGAATACTCTCCGTTGAAATCCGTGTTTTCGTCTTTCTCTCCTTCTCCTCCTCGAGATCGATGGGGATCCCTTTTCTCCCGATTCTCCCCAACTTCTAGACTGTCGACTTCTAGACAGCCCTTTGTCCCCAGCCTTTCAAGATGTAATATCTCTCCCTTGCCACACGGATCTTCGATCTGGTTGTTTGTTCCTTGATGACGTCAGCTAGCCAGAAGCTGTCCCGCGATCCTTTGCGAGCTTCCCTTAAGAAGCCAGGCAACAATCCCCTCTCGAGACACGGTGATCCCGCCCTTTCAACGTAATTACTTTTACCGAGATCCTGCAAATTTTAACGAACAATCCCCGATCTCACGACTCCCGTCCACTCCCCTTAAACACCATCGAGCTTCACCCTCTTGCACCACCAACAACCGAACGATCCAATTTTAACAACCCCCTCGTTAAACTTGGCCGCGTTGATTCCAAAAGTTCTTCCCACTCGCTCGATCGATTACCTCAAAACTCCTCCGCGATACCATTCGAAGAAGGTGGGAAGGGAAGGCCAGATCACCGACTCGAAAATCACTCGAAAAAAAAAAAAGATCGGCACGAGAAAGCGTGGGAACGTGAACGAGGAACACCACGAGACCACTTCCGGCCACGGCGGACTCGCGGCGCTTACTGAATCTCTCTCGCGCCGCTCCTCGAGGGTGACGAGCACGTTTCTCACCCCCACCATTGGCCGCCTGGCCGCCACACGACAGGCCGCGCGGCGATCGGCCGCGCATGCACACTACCACCAGCCCACCGTGGTTACGCGCGACTCGTCGTCGTCGTCCTCGTCTTCGTCCTCGTCCTCGTCCTCGTCGTCGTCGACGTCGACGTCGTCGTTGTTCGCGAGCGTCGCGATGCCTTTCAAGAAGCGAACTGACTGTGAGCAGCGAGCAGGGCGCGCGTTTGGTGGGGCGGAAGAGAGAGAAAGCGTAAAGCGCGCACACACACACGTACACGTATACGGGGCGGGAATCGACTTGCGGCACGAGTTATGACCTCAAAGGGGTCGTTAACGAGCGCCCGCCAAATTAGTATAACGGCCACTCCTCTCCCCCTCCGCGATGTGGAAACAACCCCTTTCCTTCTTTCTCTTTTTTCAAGTTTCTTGGGGGTGGATTTCGAAGGAAGAGGACGATTGGAGATGGAGAGGGGACGATTTTGAGATTGCAAGAAATTTTTATTGTTTCGTCGAGTTTTGATAAATAAATGTTAGAATGTGCGGTGGTATTGGTGAAATATTACGCTATCGCCGGTCGCTTTCATCTATTTCAAATGCATTCCGCATTAATATTAACGGTAAGATTAATATGCGATATACGTGGCAAGATCGAAAGCACAAAGAGACTCGGTAACTCGGAATCTACATCAAAATTCGCATAGTGATGATATACTGATATCAATATGCTTTCGATGCACGTGTCGAGTCACGTTGCATCAAAGATTAAGAAGATGTAATAAATGCGCGGATATAAAGAATTTCCACGAAATTCTAACCGACAAATTTATTTAAATAACTGGTAAGGTTTTATTTGAAACGTCACGATTTCATTATTGGTCACTTGCTGCAACGAGACGAGGTAATGCGACACGTTCGAACATCATTAACACGTTCGTTCTCGACAGGAGATGCATCGAACATACTCGAGATATCGAATATTCGACGCTTTTTACGAGAAAAATCCACAAGCATCAACACTCATCGACGATCGTTAATTAATCTTCTCTATACGATCTATACGATCGTATATCGGCAAGTAATGCAACCTATCCGTATACTAACGAGCTGCGCGTCATACACGATCGATATAATTAATAATTAGTTTCTCCGTATCAAAGCAGTATCGCGAGCCCCGCTGTCTCTCCAGAGACGTAAATAATTATTCAATAGCTACCACGGTATAAGCCATAATCAACAACGTGTCAATCTATATCTCGTTTAACAGAGAGGCGCCCTTTAAAAGACCGACTGGCTCGTGTATCGGAATAGAAAGGAATCCAAGTGTCTTTATTCCATTTGTTCTTCAACCTTTGTCCTTGTCTGATGTATAATGAGCATATACACGCGTGTTTATTATAATTTTGAATTTCTGTACATTAATTTCTTATTATAAGAAAAATAAGTTCTTTGAATTTAAAAAAAAATATCAATTTGGAAGAAGATCAATTAAGAAAATCAAGTACATATTATCGAATTCTAATAATCTTATACCTCTCTGCGAAGTTCCACAATATTTAATTCGTTTCACATCGACTCTTTACATTTCACTGAAAATCTTTCGAACGCGAGAAGAACTTTAAATTTCGCTTTACACTTAAAAAAAAAAAAAAAAGAAAATCTCTCTTCATCGACAATAGCCACAATATATCGTAGAAACTAGCTCTAAATCTCTCCTCTCTGAAGAAAATCATCCCCCGAGTTCTTGGCCTTCTCGATCCTTTCAAGGGACGAGCACTACGATTTAACAAGCAATAACTGGGTGAAAACAGGCTGAGATGAATTCGTTGGACGGGGAGAAAAAAATTCAAAAAAAAAAAAAAAAAAAAAGAAAAAGAGATTTTTTTCGTGCCGTGCTTTGATGCAACCCTTCAAAGCAACCCCCCTCATTTCGATTCTGTTTTACTTCGCCCGCATATCGATATTCACCCCTTCTCTCGCACCCCTCCCCTCCCTGCTTTTTTCACCACCTCCCCTCGCTTCATTCGCGTCTTTCGTCGACCAATTTTCGGCTTCGCGGAGAACGTGAAGGCAAGCAAGGGTGGAAAGGGTGATAAAGGAATCGAGGAAAAAGAGAATAACCGCCCCTCATTAACCGCTGCTGGTACCTCTATGGGGTGGAGTTTAAAGCCTAAAAGAGGGTAAAATTTCCCTGTCCAAGCTGAAACGGATTTCACTGGTCCACAGATAAATCTATTTCCAGTACGATCCGATTGAAACTTTTCTCTTTTAAAGGATATTATCGTTAAGTCCCCTACCATTCGTGTATCCTCTCTTTCTCTTTCTCTCTTTCTCCCTCCTTTCGTTTTTCCTATCTATTTTTTTTCCCCTTCTTTCGAGCAGATTTCGAAGTGATAACGATCCTTTGTTTCGTTTGCTGATTATGTTGAAAAGATATTGTAAAAGAGTCGTAGGATTTTGGGAGGAAATACCTATAATAAATGAATTGAATTATCTTAGGTCTGACTATACGCGTTTTAATACCACTGGCAATGCTACGTGAAATTTTTATCTCTTCAAATGAAATCTTTTTTTTTTTTTTTTTTTTTTAAAGTAATGTATTCGATTGGAATAATTTTTACGCGTAATTCCATGCATATTTTTATGTTCATAATAATTATTGTTCCTAGGATTTGATTGCTCTTCGAATATGTCTATATTTTTTTTTTCAACTTTTTCTCTTTTAATATAATTTAATGTACGAATACGAATGTTTTAATTTTATATTCGCACGAGTACAGTGTATTTATTTAAAAATTATTACATTTTATTTAAAATATACATTTCCCTCCGATAATATAATTAGAATCGAAATTATCGTCTCGTAAAGAATATTTGGAAATTAATAAAATATCACGTCATTGCCAATTGGAATTTGCAAAAATCCAATGCGAAAAGTATCTTCACGTGCATAAAGTGGTCGGTATTTACCGTGTGACGTTTATTTGCATGCATATTGACGGAATAAATTACGAAATTATAGCACAAAACCGAATCCAGTCCCGATCGTCGCAAATGATATTCCCTCGAAACAAAATATACTAAAAAAACACATTGATTTTAAATCATTTATTTAAAACTTGCTTATGAAAATGTTCAATTTTAATTCTCTACCAATCGTTCGAGTTTTAATCGTTCATTTTCATATACATGGCACATCTAAAATCGTAATATAATGTGAAAATGATCCTTCGTGCAAAAATAATTTTTTACATAAGCCTTCATTTTCTCTTCAAAAATATCGACTATGCAAAGTTCCATGCGCACATCTGAAAAATAATAATTAATTAATTAAATCCATAAATGAAAAGGGGAAAGATTTTTTTGAAAACGAATAATTTGAAAGCCTTTCTTTCAAATTATTCCATCCCACATTTTCTTTTTACTTTTAGAAATCTCCTCTTTTCGAGTTTTAAAATTTACATCCCTATTTATCCAATCCACTGTCAAAAAATTAATAATCTTTAATTTGCGAATAAATCACGAATACGCATCTTCCGAATGTTTTTTTAATTTTGAAAAAATTACATCTAATTTCACGATACCTGAATACATGAATTGAGCGCGGGTCAAAAGTAACCCGACCACCGTCCAATCATCATCCACACTTGCCACTGTGTAATACAGAGCACGCAGTTCATCTCTCACACACGTCGGGAAATTCACACCATCGCCTCTGGATATTTGTTAACGATGACAATAGTTTAACCGTAATTTAAACGATCGCGGAAAACGCGTGACAGGCGACAAACGCGTATGATGTAATAACTTGCGGGATAAACCAAGAACCGTCCGTTTAATGGTTGTAATAAAGAAGAAAACGCGGGTGTGAATTATTGAATACCGCGTGGAATTCACCGTGAAGGGCTGAAAGAGGTTGTTCGAAAGCGAGGCCGTTAATAATGAAAGCGGCGCATTCCCGGTGTGTGTTTCGAGTCGCGGACCAAATTAATGTTTTAAACGAGGGAACGTCGCTGCGTTGTCCGTTGACTTCCTCGCGCGCTTTTCGACTCGCCGCCCGTAATTAAAAAATGTACACGCGACTTTTTGGACGATAAATGCGCGAATTGGACGATATCGTACGGAAATCGAACGGAAGAAGATGAAGAAAATTTGAGGATCGATATTTGGAGAGAAACAAGAATTAAATTGAAACTTCTCGAATATCAGCGTTTAAAATGATAGAAATTCACATTTAAAAATGTAAAAAATTGTGTCGATAGTTGTGTGATATTAAAATATTCTGAAACTTTGAGTTTCAGAAGGACAAAAAAGATCCTCCAAGTATTTCCCCATTTCTATCATCCGTCAACCCTCCTTATCCTCCGTTATCCAATTGATCACGGAAGACCGCAGTTCGATTTATTATTTAATTTTAATTATTCGTCGTCGATTCGAGCTCGATTTAAGCGCGAACACCGCCCATTTTCCTCCTCCTCCCTCCCTCCCTCCCCTTATCGGACATTATTCCCCGCCACACATATGCGAAATACCGTGCTCGCGCGAATTACCGTGGCCCGCCCGGATAAACCGACCACCCCGTATAACTGTCCAAGTTTATCCAGCGTATACCGTTCGCCAACGATTATTGTGACAATTTCATTTCGCATTATCCAGCCGAACGGCCAATGACTCTATCGGCGAAAACTACTACCTCGTTCCACGTTCTACCTGAACCCACGTCCCTCCCTCCCCCAACCCCCAACCCCTACGGAACCGTGTTGCGTTCGTCCCCCGTACGAAGCGGCTACACCGTTCGCTAAATTTCCCCTCGGGACATGTTTCGCGCATATCGAAATCCCATTTAATCGAAATTTCGAATGAGCCGCGCGTTCGTCGCCGCCCCTCCTCTCCCCATACCCTTCCGTCCACCGACCTTGCATTTGC